TCACCTGGAACCAAAAGCCATAAAGACACGCAAAAGACCTCCTTGAACCTTATCACAGAACCAATGAAACATCTTCAGGAACCTTTCAGACCATCTCAGAATCTCTACGGCGCTGGAGCGTCCATAAGAACCACTAAGGCCTGCTCAAGGAACTGTTGACTTTTGGAACTTCTCTTTAACTTCTGCAACCCCTTGATAACCTGAAGGGCCAAACCAAACACCTGGTGCACCATGGGGAACCTGTGGAGAACCTGTGGAAGGTCACTGCAAAAATCTGGAACGTCATTAAGAGTCTCTGTGACATCAGCCCCAGAATTCTTAAGCCATAAGAACTCTCTAAACCTTCTCCACGAACTCCCTAAAGTGTTGAAAACGTCTGGAACACCCCCAAGAACCACAAGAGTCTCCATGAGAACATCGATTTTCTTTCATTTTGGACTAGAATCTTTAAAAACAAATAGGGACCCTGAAGATCATTTCAAACATTCATAAAGATTTCCTGAACTTTTCTCTGGCTTCTTAAACGTACTACAAACACCCGTAGAAGCTCCTTAGAACCTCTGAAACATCTTGGCACACCGTTAGAACCTCTTCCTGACGTCTTCACCAGATCCCCTCAACATGGACCATCCAGAACCCCCTCTACACTGCAAAAACTCAAAATCTTATCAAGTTTATTCATCTTGTTTTTAGTCAAAATGTCTCATCCCACTTGATTTGAGATAAATTCACCCAACAAGTACCATTTCAGCAGGATAGAGGGACTTGTTTTAAGACACTGCAGCTTAAATATCTTGTTCAGTCAAACAATCTTGAAATTATCTTGTTTTGAGTGTATTTTAGAAGAAACGAGGCTAATTTGACATTTCATGTATTTGTAAAGCTGAGGTGTAATTTGTATAAGATAGATAATCTTAATTTAAGAAATAAACTTTACTTAATTCAAGTGAAGGCATTTTATTGGAAAATCACATTTCATACGAGAACGAGCTACGCTGATAAAAGGAGGACAAGTTTGTTTTTTGAAGGTTGAGTTACAGTTTGAAGACACCATTTCTTTTAAATCACTGCTTGAAAAAACAATGCTTGGACTCAATGCTACACCTGTTGACATGGTGTAGTTATTTATAAATGAGGGGTCAAGAACCATGGTCATATTTGTAATAAATGCATTTTCAGCCAACTGTATCTGGACTAGTATATTGAAAAGGGTTAAATAACACTTTTTAATCTTGTTTCAAGGACAACATGACACTGCATAAAATAAGTAAAATGCATCTTAAACTTTGTGCTCAACATGAACCGTTAAAAAGCAAATATCTACTTTTGAGTTAAAAACACCGACTTTTAGGTATCGCTGGCTCATCCTAAAACACAACACCTCTAAATGCTGTCATAACAGGACTAAATATAAGGATTTACAGCCAAGTGTAAAAAGGCTTATATCTCAAATTGCTTAAATTAATCCTTGTAATCTTGTTTCAAGTACAAGACAGTCTTAAATCTAGAGAAGTGTCACATAATACAACTCAAAATAAGTTGAATATATCTCAAATGGAGAAGTTGAGATGAAAGTTATTAAAGCAAAAATCTAGTTTTGAGTGAAAAAATACTATTTTTTTTTTAGCATTTGTGGCTTATTCCAAGACGCCAAGCTTGAAAATACTGGTACAATATAGCTTCAAATAAGTTTTACCTGCTAATTTCAAGATCTCAATATTCTAAATATCACATCTTATTTTAAGAAATCTTACCAAACGAATTTTCACTTGTTCTATTGGCAGATTTTTTCACTTATTTCAAGGTAAAAGTACCTTAAAGTAAGTTTTTTTTTCTTGTTTTGAGAAGGTCACTTTTTCCAGTGTAGGTTCCAGGCATCTGGTAACATCTGAAAGACCAGATTCATGGTACGTCTGAAGAACTCTGCAGATCCAGGATGAATCCACAGCTCCTCCCAGTGGTCTGAGGGCTGAACTGCACCTGAACCCAGAACCAGTGTTGTGCCTGCAGGTGACTTTTAAAAGTTTTAAAGCCGAAGTGCTGCTTTTTGCTCAAGTGCTTGTAGTTTTAAACGTTGACAGAACCTTCTGTCCAGCTGCTTGTAGTTCTGAAGGTTTGTATTCCTTCCCAACTAACATGTTATGGTTAAAGTACTACTTTCTGTCCAGGTACTTGCACTTTCAAAAGTTTTTTCCTGCTAAAAAATATTACATTTTATCCAAATAAATGCAGTTTTAAAGGTTTATTCCACTCAAAGCAGCACATTCTGTGCAAGAACAACCTAGTCCTATCTGTCCAGCTTCTTAGAGCTTTAAAGGTTTTCTACCTCACAGAAGTACTTTCTAACTAACATATTATGGTTTCAAATGTTTATTCCCTTTAAAATACTACTTTCTGTCCAAGTACTAGGCATTGTCAATGTTTAATCCACCCAAAACACTATTTTCTATTAAAGTGCACTTCATCTCAATGATTTGATCCACCTCCTGACAAGAACGCTTCATGTTTAAAGCTTTATTCCACCTGAAAGTGAACACTTCTTTTTTTTTTTTGACAGTGTCTGTGGTTGGACCAGTTACATCTTCTTGGAGGAAACCAGTGGTCGGCGTGTTATCTGGACTGAAAACGAGTCAACGAGTCCCAGAAGTGTGGCGCTGAAAGTGCAGCGTCTCCGGCTGCAAAAATAAAACTCATGAACCAAGACCAGGATCCTAAAGTCCAGAGAAACCGGGACCAGTAACACGAAAATCCTCCATCGCAGACACACTTACCTGCCTGAGGTTCCCCTGAGGTTCTCCTGAGGTTCTCCTGTGGGTTCTATGTTTCCAGCAAACGATTCGAGGGCTGATGGGAAACACCTGCTGTGGACTTATTCATTGTCATCAGGCCTGAAAGTTCCACCTTCTCAGTTCTCAGACTACAAAGAGGCAAAAAGTGATTTTAAAAAAAAATATTAAAACGACTGCCAATGATGAAACGAAGACTTAAAGACACAAAACAGCATCAAACAGACACAAAATGGCTAAAAGGAGATGAAAGATCAGCACAAAACTACAAGAAAACGTGCCAACAGCTACAAAAACAACCACAGAGATGCAAAACAGCTTCTGACAGACATGAAACAACCCAAACTAACTCCAAAGACAAACACAAGAACCACAGAGAGACTAAACTACTGGTTACGGTGTCGTGTTTAGTGGCATTAAAACAGGTTTTTATTGTCCACAGCCAGCTTCAGTGTGAACAGTCCAGGAATCAGACAGTAAACAGAGAAAACAAATCACACCTCCATGGTTTAATTCTCCTTTATTGCTTTCAGTTTCAGTTTCATTTTTACTTTTACAAACAACGTTTCCGTTTCCTTCACTGCGTCTCAGCACATCCAGCTTCCGGCTTCGCTCTGGTTCATCACTTCCGGCTCCTTTTCTTTCGTCTGCAGTTACAGTTTTCCACTTAAATGTATTCATTTTATGGTTAATACAGTAAATCTGAACCTCTTACATTCACACAGAGAAGATAGCGGCGTTCCTAAAGTCTGAAATGCTACAGAAAATGCTGCAAATGTTGTAGAAAGAAGAAAAAACAGAAGAGAGACGAATGAAACGGGAGTATTTACAGGTCAGGGCCGACTACAGGCAGCACAGCCAGCAGTAATCAGGAAGGTGGACTTTCAAGTTATTATACTGAAAGAGAAGTCAAAATACAGCCCGAGCTTTACTTCAGCTCAGCGTGACTTTAAATAGGAATAATAGTAAATCCCAGTATGATGCTGTAAAGGTGAGCTGCTGACGTTCACATGGTTTCTCACCTGTAGAAAAAGTGGCTGAACAACACGTTTAAAGCGTTACCTACAGACTATAGATAGCAAAGTACATCAAAGCCTTGAATACATCTTTAATTATTGCTCGTTAAAGTGATTCTCGTGATCGGTTTAATTTAGGGAGAACTGTTTGGACGTTACAGAAAACTTTGGGGGAAACTTTAAAACATACCTGCGTCACATGATCAGTTGATTTATTCTACAAAAGCAGCGATCTTGTGTCTTAACAAGCAACAAGACTCTCTGACAACAGGACAGTTGAGCGATGGTGCGGCTTTAATGCTATTTTCTGGGATCCAAACGAATTTGTTCTCTTGAGATTCTGCAACCACGAGAAGAAAACCACGAGGAAGAATGAATAAAAACACTGTCTGGGTTTGACTGCAGAAATAAAAGCCCGACATCAACAGCGCCATGCTGACGGGTTACACTGCCATACGTATTTATAGCGTCCATCAGAACCAGCTGGAGGTTTCTGTCTTTTATGTTGGACTGGTCAAAACGGGATGGACACGTCTCAGGTACTGATAGCGCAGCCCTGACAGGTTCATACGACGGAAAGCCGTTTTAACATTTCAGAGCTGAGTTAGACGAACATTTGTCAGGTGTTTCCTCCATATGTCGGTGTTCTCTTTCCGAGCAGTCACACAGCAGCTGTAGATCTCAGTCGTTCAGCTTGGACGAGTCAGAATGACACGCCTGCATCAAGCAGTCCTGACATGAAATTAAATGACAGATATCAACAATGTGCTTCTGGCCCATTCGTCCACTGGTAAATCATCACAAACACCACTTATCACTGGTAATGCAGTCTGGAATTTAAATGACAAATTTCAGTGTCATTTCAACTGATTGCTCTGAGACCAGTCTGGTTTGTCTCTCTGACTGGTCGTGATGCTGCTGCTGAGCTTCCTTCTGGATGTTGGTGCTGCAGAGCATTTGAACAGCAGCTGAGATGGACGAGATGGTTAGAACATGTGGTGTAACAGAAGAAGCTCATCGGGAGGAGTTTGTTAAGATGTCACATGATGGATATCCGCGGTGAGGATCCAGTCCGGATGTTAGAACGGCTCACCCCTCACGTCGCTGTCCGGCTGCGTGGCCAGGTGTGCTTCACTACATTCAGGTGCCAGTCGGTCCATTTCAGACACATTCAGGTGAGATTTTCTCCCAAACTCCATCAAGAAATCTCAACCAATCTCAGGCTCGATTCTCCACCGCTTCCGAAGACCTCCTCCTCCTCTTCCTCCTCTTCCTCCTCCTCACCTTCTCCCTCAGAGATGGCGGTCATCGGGGCGGCAAAGAGGCGTCGGCGGGCAGCGAAGCGTCGGCTCGCCGAGCAGGGCGGGGTGAGGGAGCGAGGTCGCACAGGGGCGGGGGAGGTGAGGAAGTAGAAGGGCGAGGACGAGGAGGTGAGCAGGAGGCGCATCAGATCATCACCGAACATTGCAGAGAAGTCCTGAGAGCTCGGAGATGTGGGCGGCAGGATGAAGGGCTTGACCAGGTCTGGAGGTTCCATCTGGAGCTCAGCAGCAGGAGAAGCTGCAACTTTACGAAGCCGCTCGACCGCCGAGATTCGAGAGGAAGCGTCGGGGCGACTCCCCTTCCTCAGCAGGAGAGCCTTGAAGCTTTCGCTTCTCGGGCACCTTTGGCCTCGGAGGGCGGCAGGTCGAGCCGGGCGAGGCAGGGGGTCGGCGGGGGTCACCGGAGAGGACGAAGGGGATGAGGAGGCACGATTCCTGTCTTCGTTTGAATCCTTTCGACCAAGCATCTTCCTCTTAGACCTGAGAAACAAAGACAAGACGACACATTCAGGCAGCAGCGTCTCACATCAGGTTCAGCCTCCTGATCCAGACGCCATCAGCTCACCAACGCTGCTCAGTTACCGTTTTATTTAACGGCAGTTGAGCCACAATTTTAAACCCATGAAGTGTTGTGATTTGGAGGTTGGAGGCGTAAACTAGCAAACTTTTACCACCATGAGTTTAAGACCCGACCATTAGATTTGAACTGAAGCTTCACTTTGACTTTCGCCTTCACATTTTTAGGACATTTTAGGTGTTTGGTTGCATTCAGGCACCAAAACTACGTGGTTAAGGTGAAGCACCGAAGGTTCTTCGTTTGGTTTTGGATCCCAATCCACTTGGTTAGCTTAAGACACTAGTACTATTCTGTTAAGTGTAGAAACCAAACCTACTTGATTAAGTTTAGGAAATGATCATGTTTGGTTAATACACACCTTTTATGTTCCAAGCCTCCATTTTGTTCATTTCCAGGGAAACAACTCCACCAAAGACTTAACATGAACTTATTCACTCAACCACAAGAGTTCATCGATGCTATTGGGGTTATTTCCGATTTATCAATGATCACAGTGGATAATAAAGCGCCTACTGAGCTACTAGAAGGTGGAGGAGGTCCCGACTGGCTCTAAAGAAGGAAGGTTCCTGTAGAAAAGGTGTTTCAGCTAGTTTACTAGTTGGGGGACATTTAAAGACCAAAATCTTCTATCTAGGGTGCAAGAAAGCACTTTTAAGGAGGCAGGGTCGGGTTCTGGATCTAACAGGAGAAGAACAAGGGGTTGAACTCCACCTGCTACAAATTCATTGAAGGCTTTACCTGCAGTCAACCCCGACTACCGGGGCTCTCACGCTGTTCCTTCCCATACTGCACTGCTCCACAGACAGAGGAACCAAGCAGACGTGTGAGGATGCGGTTCAAAGTTTGGTTCGGTGACAGTGTTCTGTGATGTTTGTGTGTTTCTACCTGTGGATGACAGCGAACAGATCCTCTGTGGTTCGGGGTCGACCGGGGACGAACATCTGATCTGCCGAAACATTCACGAACAGATCAGCTGGGAAAACACAGAAAGAAAAAGGAAGATGAATCACTGATGTTTCAAAGGGTTAAGTACTTGTCTTAAAATGTCCAGGTGATTTAAACAAACATTCGTAGACAAATCTAAGCCAAAAATCTGAACGTGAGCCTATGTATACAAGTTGAAGCAGATTATCAGTTCACGGAGCATTTATAGCAGAAATCTGAGCTACTCAGCAGCTTCCTGACTGAACTGGACCACGTTGTGTAGTTTGTCTCCTCTAACAGCTTGCTCGGCCTACTTTGCCACACACCTGCAAATACATAAGGTTTACTGACATTTATTACAGTGGCCCTGAAGGCAGCACAGGAGCCCAGTTTAAGGACAACTTTTACTTTTAAATTTGGTTCGGTTTTAGCAGCGACAGAAAACACTTGTTTAAATATCTTGATACCCACGGCAGAGGTGCTAAACTCAGGCTAGAAAAACGTAAATGGAGCCCAAGTAAAAACACTGTCTCAGTCAACAGCATTTGTCATGGTAGTCTATATGGAGGATGTTCAAAACCCAACACCGACCCTGCCAGAGGTTCTACAGGAGCAGCTCTTGTTTTTGAAGGCTTGGGCCACTCAAAAATGACTCTAACTGCAGTGGAAATGGACTGTACAGAGAGGAGGTACCACATATCAGGTCCTTATGTGGTCCTGACGAAGCAGTTGCACAACCATTCACACCTTAAGAGATGCAAGTCTTGGGCCCACAACTTACAGTGCAGTAAGCTGTGGGCCCAAGACAGAGTAGTCATCAACATCTGTAAATGCTTTTTAAGTCCCTGAGTGTGGACCATTGGGGACTTTTGATGGACTCAGTGGACGTGGTCCTGTTCAGGCTACAATACGTAAGTGTCGTTCTGGTACAGCTGCGTGGCCCCTTATGTTGAACGCATAAAGAAAAACACAGGATACAGCAACTGGAACAGATTGGACTGTAGCACTGTGTTGATGTGAGTATTAAGGAGGTGAGCATGGATACAGCACAGGATCTCTGAAGAAATTAAGAAGACCAAATTTATGTTACGTGTACTCCTACAGAGAGCATGGACTGGCCTTAAGCGGGTCCATGATCAGCTGTCGTGCTTGTTTTTCTTTAAAAAGAGCCTGTTGGTTAGGGTTAGGGTTGGTTCTCAAATGTGGGCAGGTTCACTTGGCTGCTCTACCTGTTTCTAGAGAACAGAACCAATTCGAGGGTTACTGCTGCTGCTGCTACTACAACAACTACTACTAGTACTACTACTACTACTAGTACTAACATAAACTGTTATAAACCCAACTTACCATTTAAAGGTCCACTGGCCTCCTTTGTCTGCTCCCCTCTCCTCTGGGTTCCTTCATTTCCTCGATCCTCCTGTTCTTCATCCGGTTCCTGTATAAGGAGGTCTGGAAGTGACAGCTCCCCTCGCAGGCTGTCAGTGGACAGTGCGCTGCTGAGCGAGTACCTGCTCTGACCAATCAGAGCACAGGAGCTTTCTGAGTCACTCGTCTCTTGATCACACACTATCGTCGCTCTCACCTTCTCAGTCACTTGGGTTTTCACGCCCTTTGTCACATCTCGCTCATCTCCAGATGAGGACGATGAGGATGACGACGATGATGATGATGACGATGAGGGGGAGGGCGCCCTTGCTGATGACATCATCAGTAGTTGCCTGCCAGGCCTCCTCTTCCTCCTCTTCCTTGCTTTGTCCTTTTTCTTTGTGGTGGATGAAACCATCGTCATCATCGCTGTCTTCATCTCTCTCTCTATCGGCCTTTCCTTCTCATCTTCCTCTACGTCTTCAGCCAGCGATGACCTCATCATCCTACTTTGAAATGTTTTCTCATCATACTGATAAAGTCTTGATTTGGTAGTTCTCGTACAGCAGGGGTCTGTTATCCCTGTTTGGGTGCCCCCAGTCCAGGTATAAGTAGCTGCATGGGCACTGGAGCTCCCTAAGGTGCTGTATGTACCCATACCCATAATCCCTGATAGGTCATGGGTTCCATAGACGGTCCCTAAGGTGCTACTGGTCTCATTTAAAGTGTTTCTAGCCCCTGTAGTACCCATGATCTCCGAGGTGCCCATCATTCCCAAGGTACCCATGATCCCCAATGTGCCTATCATTCCAGAGGTGCCCATGATCCCAGAGGTGCCAATGATCCCCGAGGTGCCTATTATCCCAGAGCTGCCCATGGACCCAGAGATACCCATGGTTTCTAAGGTGCTACTGGGCCCTGTGGTGCTCTGAGTCTGTGATATGCCACTGGTCTTAGAGGTTCCTTTGAGGGCCCCCTCTTTATTCTTAGATGTAAAGGGTGGTTTGGTTGTTTGTGGTGAGGTCAATAAGAGGTCTGGCTTCTTGTGCAAAATTGGTGGTTTCTGCCGTTGAGGGGAGCTGTCAGGTGAAATCAAATGTGCAGGTGTCACCGAGTTGTCAGTGGTGCATGTCAGGTGCTTTGGTGAAGGTGCACCTTGGGTCACATGTGTGTGCAAGCATGTGTTGAAGGAGTCAGCAGGGAGTCCTGAAGAAAGAGCTGAAATTTTTCCACTGCCCTTCCTTCCACCTTGTCCCCGCCTGGTCTTGGGGGATGCCATAACACCCAGGATACAAAGATCAGGCTTCTTTGGTGGAACTGGCTTCTCTGGTGAGCAGAGCTTCTTTGGGCTCCTTCCCCTTAAGTTACTGTTACTGGTTTTCATATCAACATATGCTAAATCAGCAGCATCATGAATCTGCATTTGTGATCTATTCTTTTCATTTTTCTCTACCGATTGTATTGTTCTGCTTTCTCTATGTTTCTCTGCAGGCTCTGTTAGCTTAGTGCTTGTCAGCACTGCATCTTTGACCTGCTGTTGTGAAGAAGCATCTTGGATAATTGTGTCAATGTGATTTTTGTCAGAAGACATTTTTACCCAAGGACTCTCAGGACTGACGACTTGATTGCTTACAAGTGGGGCATACATGTCTGAGTCTTCCCTCCTCTGTTCATCAGACTTGATGTTTTGAAGAGTTTCACCATCGCCTGGCTGAGGCCCAGAGCTTCTCTGGTTCGCTGGGCTAGGAATAATGTCTTGTAAGTTCTGAAGATGAGCATAAACTGACTCGCTGTTGGGTGTTGCCATCTCACTTTCTGCTTGTCTATAGCAATTGTGATTTGATTTAAGTCCACTTTGATTTGCATCAGCGTTGACTGAGCCTTGAGGGCTAGCATTACCCATTAATGCACTCGCTATGTTAGCTTCACTGTGAGGTACATCACAGATAGCACTTTGCGATCCCGGTCCAGTGAAATCGACATTGGAGTTGGCAAAGCAATCAACATTTACTTTAGCAGACATAGCAGATGATAGGTCCTGGTTAGCATGAGTATGGTCAGCATTAGCTGATGACATGCCAGCTTGGGTCTGGACTGCACCATCAGACGATGCAGCATTAGCTAGTGGCGCGTCCTGGTTCTTGACTGAGCGAAGCTTGATATCCTGCAGAGCTTGGGCAGTGACCAGAGGGCAGGGGTGTGTGGCCACTTTAACACAATTATTTGGAGAGGGGAAAGGAGAGGCAGAGGGTGAGAGAAGAGGAGGAAGAGGAGGTGGTGGCGGTGGAGGAGGAAGGTCAGCAATTGGCATGTCTGGGAGTTCTGAAAATGGTGGAGGAGGTGGGGAAGCCGGGGGAGGAGGGTAAGTGGTCTGCATCACAGCGAATGAGTAGGGGGGAGGAGGAGGCCGGGAGAAAGGAGGTAGAGGTAGAGGAGGAGGTGGTGGAGGAGGAGGAAGAGATGAAAGTGTAGGAGGAGCTACAGAGAGTTTGGTGAGAAGAGGAGGAGTAGAAGGCAAAGGGGAGGAAGATTCTGGCAGAGGAGGAGGAGGAGGTGGGGGGGGAGGAGGAGGAGGCAGGAGAGGAACCTTGGCCGAGGACTCTAAGGAGGTGCAGGATGAGAGGGAGGAGGTGGAGGAAAATGAGGATGAAAGGGACGAAAAGAGTGACGACTTTCTTTCTGGCACTGGTGGCTTCGGCCTGTCATCGGCCCGAGACTTTGTCCTGGGCAAGGATGAAGCAACGGGTGAAAGGGGGAAGGAAGATGAAGTGGAGAAAGGGGAGGTCGGTGGGAGGGAGAAGGCTCCAGGGCTGGCTGTGAGTGGGGAGGATGGGGTGAGGGGGGAAGACAGTGGAGTGCCAGGAGTTGGGGTGTTGGACTGGCTGGAGTAACCACTGGAGGGTGAAGCGAGGCGCTGGAGCCCAGCTCCCGAGGAGCCAACTGGCTGGGGGTTGAGAGTAAGTCTCATGCCCTCCTCTCCCAAACCTGGAGATGCAGGGGCGAGGACAGGAGGGTGGTCAGGGCTTGTAGGTAGGTGATTGGGAGCAGGAGACTCAGCAGATGCTTGGCAGTCTGAGCTCAAAGGTTCAAAGGTTGTGACAGTCCCACAGTTAAGCCCACTCTGGCGTCTTTTAGTCCGGGGCACCCAGGGGTCATGGTAAGTCTGGGGAGATGATTTGCACTGAGCGGTGTGCTCCAAACGGGGACTGGTGGAAAAGCGTGCGGGTTTGTTCCGACTAGATCGGCGCCTCAGAGAGTCCGAGCGTAGCGGTGGAGGAGGTGGGCGCTTGGACTTGCGGAGGGAGATGCTGCGGGTGGCAGTGCGATAGTAGGAACAGGAGGAAGACGTACTGGACCTCCGTTTCTCTCGGCTTAGTGAGGGAGAGGAAGTCGTCTTCTCTGAACACAAGGAGTTGCTGTCATTGCAGGAGGGGGAGGAGCGACCAGAGTAGAGCAGAGGATCGCAATTCCAACCTTCCTCAGAAGCACATGTTGTGTCCTGGGCGATACCGCTGTGGACACTGGAGCTGGGGGACAGGGGCTTGTAGCGCCACCTATCCCTGCCATTGGATTCACAATCGTAGAAACGCTGGGTGTTCTGGTGGGTTGGGGTCTGGTCATCCAGAGTCTGGTAGCTATATTGAGACTCTGAATCAGTGATGGAGGAGCAGGAGAGGTAATGAGTGGTGGAAGGACTCTCATTCTGGGGCTTATCCCCAGGGTAAGCCCACTCTGATGGTAGGGGCGTACCAGGAATGGATGAGGACGAAAAAGGAGACAGCGGCACAATTCTGGCTGTGGGGTCAAATGGCAGCAGGGGCTGGAGGTCGCTGGGAAAACCCTGTAGACCCTGTGACTGGAGACAAGAAGGAAAAGTTAAGCAAAGTTTCTTAATTTTACTTTTAACCAATTTTACTCAATTCTACTTAACTGACCTGGCAGCAAGACGAGGAGGGACTGAGCGTCCTGTAGGAGGCGCTGGTACAGCTGACCTCAGAGTTCAAAGAGGAGCTGGTTGCCGGACGGGGGAGGCTGTGGAACTCCGAGGAATGGTCTTTGCCACGGAGGGAGGAGGTGAGGGAGGCCATGAGGCTGGACATTCCCTCTCCTCGTGGGGCTCGGATCCTCCTTGACTGTCCCTGATTCCTGATTTCTTCTCCTCCCTCCACCGCCACCTCTGTGTCCTTTTGGTTGGGGGACCTGCAGGACGAGGAGGAGGCAGGTCGACCCACTGTGGAGAACTGACTGGGAAGAACCGTGGAACCCGAAGGCTTCAGGTTGACGTCATCCGGTATCCCAGTAACCGTCTTGCGGCGGTTGAGGTTACGGGGTCGCCGGGTTAGTGAGTCGACATTAGAAACTGTCCTCCGAAAACTGGCCTGACGATCAAAACTCTCACCTGAAGGGTTAACAAAAGAAAACACAGCAGTGAAAACACGAGAAGCCAAGTCCTTACAAGTCCTGATTCCAGCTGTAAGTCCAAGTATAGTCTAAAACTGACTTACGTCAAGTGTCAGGGTCGATTTTGAAGTTCAACTTGAGTTTACCCCTAGTCTAAGTTAAACCTCAGTTTTGTATAAAACCTCAAGCTTGTCTTGACTCCCAAAAGAGTCCAGATTCTAGATTCAGCTGAGTCCGAATCAAATGTCAAGTCCACATCAGGTTTCATATCTGAGATGAATCCCAAGTCTGAGTCACATGTTAATCCAGAGTCAAATCTCAAATCAAGGTCAAGCCAAAATCCAAGTTTAGTCTTTGGTCAAAGTTTATCCAAAGCTTCAATCAAACCCCAAATTGGGTCGAGTCTGAGACAAGTAAGAAATCTGAAGTTGAATCCCAACTTTAAATTTGAATTCTGACTTTAATTTTGAGCCTGAGTGAGGTTTCAAGTTCAGCTGTACCTGTTACGTTGATGGGGACAACATCAGCAGCGACTGCCTTGGCCTGCTGCCTCATTCTCTCCTCTGGTGTTGGAAGCCGAGGTGGCGGTTCCATCTCCACATCCGCTGTCGGCTCGTAGGTTGGCGCGAAGACGTCCCAGCAAGAGGTGAGCTGGACCGGGTTCAGGACCAGCGGGGTCAGAGGTCGCGTGTTGTTCAAGATGAACCTCTCATCTTCGTCTGAGGAAGCCGATGACTGACAAACATAAGCAAGCTTGGTTAAACCAGGTAAGGTCGGGCTTCAGCTTAGTTTGTTCTAAACTAGCTGTGCTGGACTCTTATCTAGTCTGGAAGGGTTGAGTTCAAACTTTGTGTAGAGTCACATTTAGCCCTATTAGCTTAGCATTAAGGGTTCTAATACCTTATTCGTCTAGTTAAACATCTGAGCCAAAAATCCGCCAGTGGGTTTAAAAGGCATGTTTTTTTTTTTTTACTTTTTTTGCCACCAAATGATGACATTTATCAGCCGGAAACTGTAAAAATTGACTCCCCAGATGTTCTTGAATGCACAATGTGTGACCTCTGGGTCCATCAGGAACCAAATCTAAGTTGAAAATAGACAAATTTAATCAAAATCACGTTTTTCCATCCATCCATTATCGATACACCGCTTTATCCAAAATCACGTTTTTGCTTCATCTTATTAAAAATTCCCCCAAAACAAAGCATTTGCTGTCACCAGATTTTGTAAAATAAATAAATTCTGTGCTCTTTGTTGTAAACAAGAAGATTTTAGTGACTCAGCTGTGACCAACCACAGGCAGTGTTTACACAGAGCAGACAGGAGACGAGTGTGGAAACAAATCAAAAATTTAAATAGGTAAATATTTTTTATCATGCAGAGCCTTCATCTTTTCCGTTGTTGGTAACACCTGTGGACGCTTTGAAAAATGTTGGCTGTTGTGATTCCATTTTGGTAAAATAAAAATAAAACAAAAAAAAGTAGTTTTTAAAAGGAACAAAAACTAGAAACTGCTTGGAGTTCAGACAGTTAAACAACGTAGACTGTGGTTTATTCAGCTGTAATTAAGCCCATTAGGAAGTTTAAACTCAGTAGAGTCCAGTGAAGTCTGGTCGGGTGTGATCTGGCCACTACGTGAGGAGGATTCTAGTCTACTTTAGGGAAGCTCGGTCAGTGTTTACCTTTCTCCTCCAAACTGAAAACTTGAAACAAACTGAAAAACAAGACTGAGAGAGAAAGTCCAAGACTCTGGACCTCTGAGAAGAGACATGGGGGAAGGCAAAAGGGTGAGAAACAGAATGAAAAAGAAAAGCAATGGTGTCAGTTCTCCAGTATGACCAGCAGGTGGCAATAAAACACATCAACTCTCCACAACTTGAACCAGAACTGGAACCAGAAACCATGAAATGTCTGCGACTGTGGCTTTAAGAAACAGTCAATCCAAACGTTGCCAATAACACATTGATCAATTAATAAATAGTTTCACTTCTAATTCTGATTCATTGTATGATGGAAAGTGAAACTATAAAATGTATAAAGACCAGAAAGAGACAAAAAAAAAAAAACGTTTGCAGACTGAAACACAAAATTACCACGAGAAGACACAAAACAAACACAAAGCGATATGAAACGAACAAAAAGTGAAAATGAAACAACGCAAGATGACCACAAGAATCGTCATGACAACGATCTTTGTGATCGTTTCGGAACATTTCGTGGATGTTTTGTGCCTCTTTAAGCTACTTTAGTGTCTTTATAGTCACTTTGTGTCTTTTTTTTTTTAGTTCTTTTTGTTTCTGAGATCCTTTTGCTGTATTTTTTAGTAGTTTGTTGTCTTTTTAACTTAATTTAGTCTTTTTCTGGTTGTTTTGTGTCTTTTAACCTCGTTTTGCATCTTTTATTGATCCTCGTTTTGTGTCAAAACAATCCAAAAGAGACAAAAAACGACCACATCAGAACCTAAATGACCTGAAAGAGGCACAAAGTGACAATAAAGAGACGAAATCAGCTCAAAGAGACACAAAATATTTTGGAAAGAGACCGAAAATGACAAAAAAATAAACACAAAACAACTAAAAAGAGATACAAAGTGACTTTAAAGAGACTAAATCAGCTAAAAGAGACAGAAACTTAGACAACAGCAGTGTTGGGAGTGTTGCTCATTGATTGGAGCCTTTCAGACGTCCTGATTGGTTCTGCAGTCTGTGGGGCCTCATTAATATTCATGAGGCAGCAGCACTGCGTCTCACCATCTTCCTGCCTTTGTCCCGCCACCGCTGCCGCAAGTTGCCTTCTGATTGGTCGTGGCTGGGGCTTTGTGGGCGGGGCCGAGTTGGTCCGTGACACGCTGCAGACAGAGAATCAGAGATTATTGATCGATCAGACATGACTGTGTTCTACTGCGGCGACATGCGGCGCTGCAGCTGCAGTGCTGCATGCAGAACCCTGCAGCGCTGCAGTCTGCTCCTGTCATGAGGTTCTCTAGAGAACGTCAGAGAGCAAGCACAAAGCTCCCAGTTCACTCCTCTGCAACATGAGTCTGATCATTACATCCACAGGTTTTAGCAGAACGAGGCTGGAATCTGGCTGCTTTATAAGCTGCTGCTCATCCTGAGGAAACAGCATGTATATCATGTGCAGGCAACACAAAGAGACCACAAACAACAAAGACAGACACATCACGATGCTAAATGAACACAAAGAGCCAGAGGTGACCAAAAAACAACAAAAACACGACACACAAAAACAAAATAACCACAAACAGACGTTTTACTTTGCATAAAAACATTTTGGCCAAAACCTGATGCAGAAAAAGAACAAACTGGAAGTTAAGTCGATGCAAATCACTGTTCGCTCTGTGAGTCGACACTGTGCGACTGGTTCAGGAGGTCAGTGGCTGAAGTCGGCTGATCTTAATCCTACAACACACAAAGACTGATGTCCACGGGCGGCTGGACCTTCAGGCTGAAACCAGACGAAACCCGTTCAAAAAGTTGTTCTCCACGAATCTGAGTAAAACCGACATGAACAGCAACCTGAAAATGTGCTTTCTTTGTATTATTTATTGTTATTCTATGCAATGTGGAATTAAAAACACCATCTGTACCCACAGAAGGCCCTACTGGTAGAAATGTTTCATGTTTTGCAGCAGGAACCAGGAGGTCCAGAAGGAGCCACAGCAGCACTGATCAGGGCTGCAGTGGTCGTCCTCCTACAACGACTCCACGGACAGTCAACTACTGTCACTATGGAGCTGTGGACACCAGACAAAGGCAGCTGCTTCAGACTTGGCACAGGGCTGATCAATGGAGACCAGAGTTAGTGTGAAGCTCACACAGTGTGAAGGACACTTCAGAACATCAGCCTCTATGGACGGAGGAGCAGAACTAAACCTGGCTGCTGCTCACAGCTAAACTTCCACATCAAAGTTCACCAGAGAACATGAACAGAAGCCTGATGGATGCTGGAGAACATCCTCTGGTCAGATGGAGATCAATGTGTTGGGCTCACATGGAGTCCAGATGTTTGGTGTGAACCTGACCAGGACCACCACAGTGGATCATGGTCCTGACAGTGAAGCACGGAGGTGGCAGCATCATGATGTGGGGCTGCATGAGGGCAGAAGGTGTTGATGACGTTTATAGAAGCTCCATGAATGTCTGAGGATTTACCAACAAACAAAACCACACTGAGTCACAAAATGAACACAAAAAGACGCAAAGCAAACACAAGGAGCAAAAAACGAATACAATAAGACACAAAATGGACACGGAGATGCAAAAATATGCAAAACCACCACAACAGGACGCAAAACTAAAACACAGCCACAAAACAACCTAAAAAGACCAACAACAAAACCAACATGACAACACAGAACAGCCACAAAAAGACACTCGGGCCAAAACAGAGACACAAAACAACCAAAAAGGACGCAACACGAACACAAAGAAGAAAAAAACAACCTCAAAAGGACCAAAACCAACATGGACAAAAAAACCCAAAACACAAAATGTGACTACACACAGACACACAACTGAACCAGAGCCACAAAACAACCCAAACAGATGCAGGACCAACACAACACACACACAACCTCAAAAGAACCAAAACAGACACAAAAACACAAAACACACAAAACGACCACAGGAGGCCACAAAATGAAGAAAAACAACAAAAAATAGGAACAAAATGACACAAAACCAGAAACGCTTTCAAGCATTTCGTCTTTTTTTGTAACCAAGTTGTACATTTTGGGTTTAATGAGAACTTTAACGACCAGAACTGTTTCATCAAATGAGGATTTTCTTGCTTTTTAAATTATTTTAACAGAAAACATTTGTACTTGTTCTTACAGGACCAAGGCCGGTTTACGTCGGCTCTTCCACTCTTACCTCGCAGGTCATCGGCGCTGCCTGATCGTCTTTTTCCAGGGATGAAGCGGAGACTCTGCCGAGGCTTCTGGGTAGTGTAGTGAACAGACCACCTGCTGTCGCCGTCTCCTGCAGCACAAAGACAGAAGAGTTCAGTGTTTCGGCAAATCCATTCACACAGCGAGCAGCAGCATCGCAGCCTCAGCACTCCTCAAGGTGACCTCCACGGGGCTTTTATTGTGAAGGAGCAGGCTAATCATCTGTGGTATTCAGGAGACAGACGTGTGGACAGATGTGTGGACAGACGTGTGGACAGATGTGCAGAACCGTCTCTCATTAGTACACAACATATGACATTGCTTTAACTTGTCTCAGACTTAGACGTCGTCTCGCTGTGGGTCGGGATGCTCACGAGTCTACCAACAAGACTCACAAGTTCATCTGTTTACTTCCTCTTCTGCAAAATGTTCAACAAAGCAAGAACAAAAAACATTTTGACTACTTTAAAGTCCATCACACACAAACAAATACCAGCTAAAGAAACTAAAACTGGGCTTCAGGAGGTTCCTGGGGTCCTTGAGGGGTGCCACAGGGGCCTGAAGAGGTTCAGGTGGTCCTTAAGGGGTTGACATGTTTCATGAGGTCTGAGGTGGCTGTTGAGAAAAACCTGAGGTCCTTGAGAGGATACCAGTGGTACTTGAAGAGGTCCCAAGGACTGGGGAGAATTCCAGAAGCTCGAGCAGGTACCACAGGTTCCTAAAGAGGCCCAAAATGAACCTAAAGGTTCCACATGCAGTGTTAGAGATCAAAGAGACGGGGCTTTACGTGCTCAGGGTTCTTGAGGAGGTCCAACAAGTACAAGAAAGTTCTACAAATTGTCAAGAAGGTATGACAGATCTTTGAGAAGCCACAGTTCGTCCTTCACCAGGTACCACAACTTCTTCATGAGCCTAAAGTGGTTCTACAGCTGATAGCGGGTCATGATAGGCGATATAAGGGCCTTGAGGAAGGTCCCGGTGTCCCTAAAGGACTTCCTGGAGCCATGGAGAAGTATCACAAGACCTTAAACAGGTCCCTAAAAAAACGCATATCCTCAAGAAATCATCAAGAAGGTATCATAGGTCCTTGAGAAGCCTCCATTCTTCCTGGAGCAGGTTCCACAGGTTTATAAACAAGAGTTTGAGAGAAGCTTCCAAAAAGGGGGTTACAAGGCCTTTCAAGAAGGTCCTGAATTCCATAAAGGAATTTCAAGGGCCATGGTACCACAGGTCCTTAAAGAGGCTGAGATGATCCTGAAGGTTTCTGAAACACTGTCAAAGATCCATGATGGGGCCAAGGAGAAGGTACCAGAAGTTCTTGACCAGGAGTCCCTAAAGACCTTCCAGGAGTGCTTGAGAACCACATGCGTCCTTAAGGAGTCCATCCAGAGTCTTGAGGTGGTCCTATGAGTCCTTGTCACTGAAAGTGTACTTGAGGAAGAGTCAGTTACTGAAATATTTCCAGCAATCATCTGGAAGGTCAAATACATCTTTGAAAGGGTTTCATTTGTTCTCGAGCAGTTACCACACGTTCTACCAGAGGCTTAGAACCTTAAATGTAAAGACACAGTGTCAGAGAGCCCAGATGAGGCTTCATAAGGGTCTTGAGAAGAACCTGACAACTTAAGGAAGTTCCACAAGTACAGGTACAAGAGAGTTCCAGAACTCATGAAGAATGTACAGAAGATCTTTGACAAGCTGATGTTTGTCCTTGAGCAGGTACCAAAGATTTTCAAAGAGGCTGAGATGCTCCATGGACCACAGAGACGGTACCATAAGACCTTGAACAAGAGTCCCCAAGGAGCTTTCAGGGGTCTTGGAGATTTTCCAGTGTCCTCCTTCCATGAAAATCCTTGAGAATCCTCAATTTGTCCTTCAGCATGTACCACAATTTCTTAAAGAGGCTGAGATGTTCTATAGAAGGTTCTGAGGTCACATAGGTTCTTAAAGAAGGTCTTGAACTTCCTAAAGAATTCTGGGGCCACAAAGAAGGCACTGCAGGTTGTTAGGTATGTCCCAAGAGTCCCTCGGGAGCTTTGAGGGGTCATTAAAAACAGGCAAATGTCCTTGAGGAATCCTTGAGGTGGTTCCAAGGCTCCCTGAAAAGCCTGAAGTGGTCCTTGAGCAGGTACCTAAGGTCCTTAAATTGCCTGAAATGGTTCTTACTATGGCTCTAGGGCCACAGTGAATTACAAGGACCCTTGAAATGGGTCCTGGAGACATGCAAGGGATTCTAGATCCATGACGATGGTACCACAGTTCCTTGGGCATGTCCTAGGAGTCTTCATTGGTTTCCAGGGGCTCTTGAAAAGGTAGATCAAGTCATTAAAAAAGCCTAAATGAGTATTGAAGAGCTTCTGGGCATTACAAAGAAATTTCAAGGTCCTTGAGAAAGGTCTTGAAGTCCCTTAAAGGATTCCAGGAGGCCCTGAGAAGGTACCAGGAATACTTGAGTGTTTCTCAGGAGCTCTTGTGAAGAAAAGGGGATCCTTAGGGGTATTTGAAGAGATTCAAGAGGTCCTTGAGGAGATTTCAGGGGTCCTTGAAAAGAGTCCTGAAGTCTCTGAAAAGGTTCTGAGATATATAAAGATCCTGAGGGGGGTCTTGCAGTATTTGATGAGACTCCAGGGATCCATGAAGAGATTCCAGAGGTCCTTGGGGAAACACCATGGGTCCTTGAAGCAACTAAGGGGTTCGTAAAGAGATTCCAAGGGTCCTTAAAGAGATTTCAGGAGATCTTGAGGAAAGGATCTTTGCGAAGTAATGGGGTTCCTTAGATGAGCCTTAATTACTTGAGGAGGCGGGAGAAGATTCAAGATGTCTTTGAGAAGATACCAGAGGTCCTTGAAAAGGGTCCTGGGGTCCGTGACAAGGTTCTGAGAGATATAAAGCGCTTGATGAGGGTCTTAGAGTTCGTAAGGCAACTCCAGGGGTCCTTGAGGGGACTTCAGTAGTCCCTGAGGAGACTCTGGGAGATCTTGAAGAGATTCCAGGGGTCCTTGAGAAGTAACAGGGTTCTTAGATAAGCTTAAATTGTACCTGAGGAGGTTGTGAGAGACTTGAAAAGGGTTCCAGCGTCTTAAGGAAACTCCAGAGGTCCGTGAGAAAATCCCAGGGATCCTTGAGAAGATTCCAGGAGTTCTAGAGGAGATTCCAGGGTCCTTGAGAGTATTCCAGGAGTCCTTGAATGGGTGCCATAACTGCCCTGAGGGTGTCCCAGGGCTTTGGAGGGTCCTGGAATCCTTGAGTAGGCTCTTTGAACATGTGTTGCCATGGTAACATGCAGTGGCCAACAGGATGGCTCTCATGCAGGTGACCGCGGCGACCTGAACGGCGGAACATGCGGCGGACAGCCAATCACAGAGCGGCAGGCGATGAGGTCATCTCTGGGTTTTACACTCACCGCGGCTCTGACTGAGGAGTCTGAGGACGGACTTGATGGCTGCTCCGATCAGAACCATGACGACGCCGCACAGACGCACCGCAGACACACCGCAGACACACAACAGACGCACCGCAGACACACAACGGACACACAACGGACGCACGCAGTCCTGCGGCTCCGGCGGACAGACAGCAGCAGTGGTGCAGCTCCACTCGCTGCAACGCTGCTGCTGCTGCTGATCTCCTCCCACCGCTCTGGTGCTCCGGCGGCGGCAGCGCCCGCCCCCTCCTTATATCCACACACACACACACACACACACACACACACACACACACACACACTATTTTGGCGTCCTGCCAGCACACGTGTGTCCTTCATGTGTGTCTTCAGGTGATGAAGGTGACACACAAAAAACACTGCGTGAACACACACACACACACAGTGCTTTGTAGATGAAGGGGCATAAGGATGGTGTGTGTGTGTGTGTGTGTGTGTGTGTGTGTGTGTGTGTGTGAGGACTGAAGCAGCTCCACTATGTGATAACACAGATACAGGAAACAACACTGTGCAGATATAAGTGACGACTTCGGTCTGTCAGCGCTCGTTTTGTCTCTTTGTTGTCCTTTTGTCTCTTTGTGGTCGTTTTGTGTCTCATCATCTACCTGCTGCAGAGCTCCCTGTCTCACCTGGAGGACACTGGAAACACCATGTACCTAGTGTACCCAGGTACCAAGTACCTGGTGTTCACCTGAACACCAAACTGGACTGGACAGACAACACCGACTCTGTATAAGAAGGGTCAGTGTCGCCTGTACCTGCTGAGGACGTTCTACGGCACTGTGGTGGCATCAGTGGTGTGCTGGGGAGGGGGGGGAGGAGCAGACTGATCAGAAGAGCCAGCTCAGTCTGTGGCTGCCCCTGGACTCCATGGAGGTGGTGGGAGAGAGGAGGGCCCTGGCCAGACTGTCTGCCATCATAGAAACACCTCCCAGCCTGCATCAGACTGTGAACTCCTCAGCAGTGCGTTCAGCGACACACTGTTACACCCAAAGTGTAAGAAGGAACGTTTCTGCAGGTCCTTCATCCCAACACCAGTCAGACTTTACAACACTGCACTATGGACTCCTCTGGTACCTCAAACACATCCCACTATGTGCAGTAACCATGACGACCTCATCCTTGTGTACGTCGTCTTCTTTTAAAAAACAAAACATCTTCTGTATATAATGTTTTTTTCTCTGGCAGTTGTTGCACCGTGTGTTTTCTGTCTCTGTCCTACTCTTTGCACTGAGGGTTCACAGTTATTCCTGCACTGACTGAACACTTTTGTTGGAGCTGTTGTAACGGTGAACGTTCCCCACTGTGGGATCAATAAAGTTATCTTTATCTTTATCTTTATCTTCTGTCTCTGTGGTCGTTTTGTGTTTCTGTGGTCGTGTTTTCTTGCTGCTAACATCTCGTGTGTCTCTGTGGTCATTCGATCAGCTCTCGGTCACTCCAGACAGACGTCGGGGCCTCCGGACCTCCTCGGCGGTGAAAGTTGACGGAGCGACTTGTGACCTTCACCGTCACCTTCACTGGCTCACAGTGTGAAAGTGTGTCGGCTATGTGGGCCACTGGAGCAGCTAATTAGCGTCAGTCTGTCTGTCTTCACCTCGCTGCTCATAATTAGCTGCAGTAATTAGACAGTAAGTAGGCCATCGTTATGCCACACTGTCGTACACACAGGAGGAGCTAACAGAGGCTAATGTACTGATCCAGGTGTGCTTCACCTGGGCGACACCACCGATGTTCAGCTGCAGGTGACGAATGGAGAGAACAGGTAGCAGCTGCTGCAGCTACAAAGCCTGTTCATCTGCTAAACAGGACTTAGCCATTAGCCTAGCGTATGGAGCTGCTGCTAATCCCTGCACACACACACACACACACACACACACACACACACACACACACACACACACACACACAGATTATGCACACAGGGAGCTCATTAGGAGAGGAGAGCTGCTGTGTTTCTGTTCAGTCTGTTATCAGGCAACGACAGCTGACGTCAGCCTCAGTCAGGTGATCAGTGACACCAAACTGAGCCAGAACCACAACACCTGGCACCACCTCGGAGCACAGTTAGCTGAAACCATGAGATCTGGCACCTAAACCATGAACTCTGGCACCAAATCCCTGACATCTGGCACCGGAACCACGCCATCTGGCACCATCCAGGACCAAAGTGACCTAAAACCATTACAGGAGGTGTGTCAGACAAGTTCCAGGACTGGTGTCACAAAAGATAGACTTCAAATCCAAACTACCAGAGTTCTCCTTCCCAGTAACCCTCCTGGACTCCACCACCCTCCTCCAGCCTTCTCTTCACTCCTGGAAGGATTCTCCAGGATCCTCTCAGCTCCGTCCTCACAGCCATCTTGATGTCGTCCACGTCTTCTAAACGGGTCTCCTTGATGACCCCCTTGAGCTTGGGGAAGAGGAACCAGCCCCACGGAGCCAGGTGGGGTGAGTAGGGAGGAGATGTTCTTCTCAGCAGGAGCTGTGGGATGCTCAGGGCGCTGTGAGCAGGTTGTCATGGTGACGCAGCCTCCACTGGTCCTGACACAACTCTGCCTCTTCTGGACGAAGCAAACGCTGCAGGACCTCTGTGGACGAGGTGGTTGATGGTCTGAAGGAGAAACTCCTGGTTTATAGTTTGGGTTTGAAATACATCTTCTGTGACACCAGTCCTGGAACCTTTCTGAGACTCCTCGTATCTGGCATCATCCAGGTCGAAACTGAGCCAAAACCATGACATCTAGCACCAAAACCCCAACATCTAGCACCAAAGTCATGACATCTAGCACCAAAACCCCAACATCTAGCTTCTAGACCATGACATCTGGCTCCATCTTGAACCAAACTTAGCCAAAACATCGACATTAGGCACCAAAGCCCATAGGGTGACCCAGATCGGCCAGTTATTTGGGACCAAACTGGGTCCAGTAGCAGCGTTGCTGGTTGTTGTCACTCTATAAAGGTTCTACGAGCAGCAGTAATCAGAAACAGTCCAACTACCCAGAATTCCTAGCAGTACCTCTCTGCAGAAGGGGCGTGGTTTGCCTGGCCTCCTGCCAGGAGCTCTTCCCTTGTTGGCGTCTGAAGCAAAAGAAGCCGGTCCGGCGCCGCCTGCTGGGCCGGTAGCGGTACTGTGGCGGCACTTCTGGTTCCCTGAGGCCTGGTGGGACGCTCAGAGGGGAGGGGACGGGCAAGGTGTACCCGAGGCGGGGCTCCGGTGTCGGGGGGCAGGAGCTGGTCCGGCGCCGCTGGGTGAAGACGGGGCAGGTGGGGCGCTGCAGCTGAAGGGCTGGAGACTGCGAGGGGAGTTTCCCGTAAGCTTCGGGAGCGAGGAACAGTTTCCCATGAGCCTCCGGGGTAAAGGAGGGGTGGACATGGGGGCGTGGCGGGAGGTGCTGGGGGCGGTACCAGGGGCTGTTGTACTGCAGGTGAGGTGGGAGGGACTTTCTGTCACCGGAAGGTGACCCTGGTCTGGCGGCGGTGGCAGCATTTAACCCCCAGATGGCGTCGTGGTGCTGGTGGATCTTGGCGCTGAGGAGGCGCCGCCGTAGGCTGCCCTCTGTTTTCGGCTGCAGGGCGGCCATCTTGCGTGGAAGGAGCTCATCACGCTCTTCATCGGGACTCATGTTCCAGCAGCGTGACGCCACACCAGGCCCCGCCCCCTCGCCGCCCAGACACTCCACATATGAAATCATCCTGTCCTGATTTGTGATTGGCTGTTTGAATGATCCACTACTTCCTTGTTTGTATTTTCATCTTTCACAATAAAACCCCAGCGGATTACTAACCCTTCATATGTTCGTTTTTTTCCAAGTCCTTCACATTAAAAGATCAAACAGCATTTAATCATTACAGCTTGTTTTTTGAAAGCTCCTGACTTCACAATAAAAGCCCAGAGTTTTTCTTCAGCTTTTCACAATAAATGTTTGAAAGACTGTCCATTCTTCAGAGTAAGTGATGCTTTTTCACTTCAAAAATAAAATAAACTTGATAAAATCCCCAAAAGGCAAGACTTTAACAATAAAACATCCTTAAGTTCAGTCTTTCATAATAATATTCTCTAAAAGATTAGACTTTCACAATAAAATCCCCATAATTCAGATTTTTAAAAAAACAACAACAACAAAATGTCAGAATTTCACAATAAAAACTTCCCAAAACCTCAAAATTATACAATAAAATCCTTCAAAATGTCACCCTTTCAAAATAATATTTCCTAAATGCTCAGACTTTCGTGATAAAATCACAGAAATGTGAATAAAAACTCCAAAAAAGTTTGACTTGTGGTAAAAAATAAAAAAAAAGCACTTCCTGAGTCACACACAGAGCGTCCTGCTCAGAAACCCATCAGAGGAACTTCACAGATTTCACAAAAAGATGTTTTGGGAAACTTCCAGAGACATTCTGCAGCATTTTCTCCGTCAAAGCCCAAAACATGTTCCGTCCTTCACAGACCAAACGCTCACATCTTCAGCTCTGAACATTTCACAGGAAGAGAACCGTCAGATTGGATGAAAAGAAAAATAGCTCCACAAAAACCTGAGACGTCCAGCTGCTCCTCACTCCTTCACAACAAAAAGCTGAGAGGAACAAACCTGGAGCTCGTCCTCGCTGAATGCGTCTGTGTGGCGTCTCCTCGCTGGGACTCTAATCTACGGGATTATCCAGGTCTGCAGATGGCAGGTATTTACACCACATGTTGCCTCCTCGATCTGGAGCTCACATTCAAACAACAGAAGGTCGAGCTTAATTAAACTTCACCTGCACACACACAGCTGCTGACAGGGGGATCCATCCGCCGCTGAAAATAGTCCCCAGAAAATGCAGCTTCCTGTTTGTGTGATAAATGTGAGCAAGGAGACACAAAGCGACCACAAAGACACACAACGAGGACAAGGAGGCACAAAATGACTACAACAAAAACGTAAAAAGGCCACAAAGGGACACAAAACAACCAATAAAGGAACACAACACGAGTTTGGAAAAACACAACAACCACAACAAGATGCAAAACAACCACAATAAGACACACAATTACCACAAAGAGATGCAACATACGCACAAAGAGACACAAAATAAGGCTGAAAGGACACAAAACAACCACAAAGAGATGCATTAGAGGAGCAGCACAGCTGTGTTTGGAGGCTGAAGGGATGTTTCAGCCTGCCTCAACAGGCCAGCATGAAGCACACACACACACACACACACAGACACACACACACACACACAGACACACACACACACACACGTGTCCAACTGAAGAATGCACACGTCTCCTGACCCAAAACTTTCACCACCAGCCACCAACGATCAGCCTGCACACAGACACTGGTACTGCCATCGCTACCACTACTACGACTACTCTTCTTACTACTAGCACTATTACTACGACTACTAGCAGTACTGCTGCTGCTGGTAGTAGTACTGGAGGTAATACTAGGAGCAGTAACCATGGTAACGCTTCACAAAGGACGGCAGCAGCTGTAATCTGGAGACGCTGCATCAAGACGACACTTCATTCCCTCCATGAACCTCTGCTCACACACACGCACACGCACGCACACGCACACGCACACGCACACGCACACGCACACGCACACGCACACACACACACACACACTCACACACACACACCATCTACAGCTATAACTTCTGCATGAATCCTCTCTCACCTTTCGCACAGAGCATGTTGTCCTCGCTCGCCCGGTGTCCATCAACATGTGTGTGCTGTGTGAACATGCGTGTGCTGTGTGAACATGTGTGTGCTGTGTGAACATG